CCCCCCTAGACTTTAAAAAAAAATTAAATAGGTCCTATATTTTTTAAAAAATCAAATAAATCCTATTTTAAAAAAAATAAAATGTTATGTTAATTTTTATTCTTTTATAGATCTTATATGCTATCTAATAACAAAGATTGTGCACTTCGATACGGTACAAATTACATGTAACCATATAACAAAAAAGTACTTACATTAGGAGTACTATTATTTTCTCTCTGAACAAGTCATTTTCTTCCGAAAAGTGACTTCCAATCAATAATTATAACTATTTTTTATAGAAAATGAGAGAATACGCTAGCATCAAGCAATTAAAGTTCAACAATGAATTACATCAAAAAAAAAGTTCAACAATGAAATCGTTTAAAAAAAAAAAAGTTCAATAATGAAATCTATGGGGTTTATCATATCTTCAAGAAAAAGACGATTAATCTCACCCATTTTTTTAAAAATAATTAAGTTTTCTATATCCAAAACCAAAAAAAGAGAGAGAGAGAGAGAGAGAGAGAGAGAAACTTACTTGGACGAAGTCATTCAAGAAAAAATCCGGAATCATGCTGAAACTCCTGAAAACCGCTAAACGAGCTAACGTTCTGAGCTGATCGGCGGTTTCAGGTAGCATAAAATCCTCTACCTTCTCCGACTCCGCTCTCTTGAGCAAGGTCTCGTTGTCTCCCTTTTTTATACTAACCCCGGAGCTCGCAATTACCACTTTCTCTACATTATCCGGCAACATTCTAGCCATGTGGTACGCCACGAACCCGCCGTAACTAGTCCCCATCACGTGAAACTTCTTCACCCCCAATATTTCCATTAACTTCCCCAAACAAGCCGCCTGGAAAATCTCCGACCTCTCCTCCGACTTTGTGGTGGAATCTCCGAAGAAGACGAGGTCGGGGACGTAAACGTGGAAGTTCATGCTAAAGAACTGGACCTGTCTCCGCCATTGCCAGATGGCCGTCGGGCCGAACCCGTGGATCATGATCAAGGCCGGTTTCTTGGTGGCGGTTGCTGTCTTAGGGCCCCAGAAATGGATGGTGGTGTTGTTGTCTATGGCAACAGATTGGGGAGTGAGGCCGGAGGAGGAGAAGCAGCGGCGGAGGTAGGTGGCGTACAAGGAGACGAGGCTGAAGAAAGTCATGGCGGGTGGCGGTGGGGAATTGGTGGATTGGTTTAGACTGTGTTTCAGTGAGGAAAGGAAAAATGCAACAATGATTTGTTTGGATTTGGTTAACTATCCGACTGTGAATGCTGTATTTCAGGGGTAGGTTGAGGGGTTGGACTTTATTATGGGTAGAATTACCAAAGGGCACATCGGTAACAGTATGGTGTTTTCTTATAAGAAAAATGGTTGGTATTAATTTTTTATTTAATAT